TTTTCTTCACCAAACTTACTGTAGAAATTTCTTCGTTGCCGAAAAACATGCTATATATAGAAAAATACATAAGATCAAAAGAGGATATGTATTGCAAATAAAAGAAAATACTTTGAAGATTTGAGCAGTATTGGAACGTAAAGCATCATTAACCCTAGACATGTTTATTTTCAGTACGTCAGAAGTCATAATGGTAAAGCTTTAAATTGTGCATAAGAAACATTAAATAACCATTTGGATAGGTAAACATACATTTCACTTGGATTAGTCTTATAAGCATAAAATGCACCACTCAATGGCAATAATTTAATCACCGTTATGATTGGTCTTTTTTTTGCACCTTTTACCAAATCTTCCATGACTGCCAGGTAATCATTTCCAACCATTTTCCAATAATCAATAAACGTGAAACACCATCGCTTCAGGAATGCCATTATTCGTCAATCAAATCTGAAAAGTTCCCGCTTACTTGTTCTAATTTAATCTTCACATTTAAAAGAAGCGTTCTAATTTAATCTTAACGTTTTGAAGACGCTATTATGGTCCCTTTTAGTGTAATCGTGAAGTGAAAAAAAAAAGGAAAAGGAATTTGAAATTCAATTTAAACACCCTCTTCACTTAATTACCATTTGATTCCGTTTCACTGTAACTATCCAGTGGATTTTATATTTAGTGGTATATGCCTAAAAGTCGTCACATCGTAAAGTGGATATCTGGAAGAGTAAGGATGACAGATGCGACAATTCGTTGCCTTAATTTTACCCGGGTCACTGTTATTGATGAAAATACTAAACAATTAACGATGAAAAAAAAAACGATTGGTCACCAACCACGAAATACCAACCGGACTTATGGACTGTATTAGAGGCGCTAAATTCCTGTCGGATGAAATGGGTTACTTTTTGTCGCCCACTGGGTAATAGGCTCGATCATTATCCACCAAGGTGTTTATGAGCCCGTGATCATAAATGTGCCATTGGGCGCAAATCTCGAGATGAACTCTGTAAGGTGAGAGCAAAGTTTAAAGTTTTTCTTCCTAGTTATCGCCGAAAATTCTATTTTTTGACATCAGTTTTCCAGTTTTCAAAGAGAAATTTTAATGTATACTACCGCTGCATTTAAATGCATTCAAATTTCCTTGTATTCTCAACAAAAGTAAACGGTGATCAAGAAATGACTACTCCAACGAAGTCACGGTGATTCATTTCGTTGGTGTAATAAAACCGTCCCTGCCATTGTTGATCATGGTTGATTATGAATTGACACGAAATTCCCTCCTGTATAATGCAAAATTTCTTTCTTACTGTATGCTAAGACAGTGATGAATTCTATTTCGTTAGGAACATCTTTGAAGTTGACTCAGAACAGTTAGTGAATTGAGACGCTGAGCATGTCCGTTGTAGTTGGGAAATCGACGCACTGGATACTTTAGAATATTTGGCAAATTCGCAGAACATCCAGATTAAGAAGGTGCTGTAGCCAGTAATCTGTAGCGCTATGGGAATTGGAGACTCCCCATTGACTGTTGGATGTGATGTTTGTGACCAGCTACTAAGTCCGAGAAATGCAATAGATCTGGAACGGCCTGTGGTCGCAGAAAAGTTGGGGAAAGTTTTCCGCTGGTAAAACTCTTTCAGCATTCTTTTTGGAACATTCTTCTGCATCATTTTTATTAGAGATTAATAAACGAAACAAAAAAGCATTTGCACATGTCGGATAATGATTTAATCATTAACAACGTTTGTGTGTCTCAAGACACCTTTTTCTTCGTTTCCGCACCACCCCAATAAAGGAGAAATTGAATAAAAATTATGCCATTTAGTAAAGCGGCGATAATGTAATTGATAATCACTAGCTGGTCACCAGTTTCCTTTAAGGAAGTAAATATTCGTGCTAAACATCCTGCGAACTGGAGGAATACTGAGATCACTGATAGTTGGCCAGTACTCTGTTGTTGGTAGTTTGCCCGAATTTGTAGAAACTGGAAATAAAAGTGTATGAAGCAAAAAAATGGCTGTGAATGAAACAAATAATGTTGCTTATTGAATTATTTGGACTGTTCAGCCAATTCTGCCAAGTGTAGTTCAGTAAAGACATAACTATGCGCTGAATGCCATCTAATTTACGTAGCTTTGAACTTCATATCAGACTGGTTGGGCTATAGCAACTTCTTAGTTGATCTAGATCTAGAGCTTCCAAGAATATGCTTCGTATTACTTTAACATTTTATCGTTAGTCCCTTTACACCACGGTTCGAATATCGGATCTCATGTAATATTTTCTAAATAACAGTATATAAGAAAAAATTGTTTCCAGTTCTAAACATTGAAGCAACAAACTGACTCAGTTTCACTTACATACTCCTTAATTATTGAGCCATATCCGATATCTCATTCGCCACTCTCACATCCTAGAGCATTATGAAACGTAGGCAGAAAGACGTGGCAACATTCATCCCATTAGCAGGCATGCCGTTTCTTAAAAATCTCTCTTAAAACTTACTTTAGCGACAATAACAATTGGAATGGTTATAGCCTGAAGCAATGCAAGCACATCATTTGGGATATATTCACCCATTACTGCACAACTAATTGTCCAGCAAAATGCAAAGAATACAGCTGCGTGAGTTTGCCTTGATGAAAACCAAAAAATTTGGATAATTATTATGACCATTTGGATCGTTACGAAAAATGAATCACCCCATTGACTGAAACAAGTGCACTCATATGAATTATAACATAATATGAATTTAATCTACAACTTGCCAATAAATTACTCAAATAAACAGAATAAACTCGTAACAGAAGAAATTGTAAAGGATATATAATGAAGGCTACTAATCACTAAAAGCAAGCCAGTTTGCGTGTGCGCTATTGCCTAAGCATTTGAAGCAAACGATCTTATCTATCTGACCATTTCGAGTTAGCCAGCGATGACAGATATCGATTTGTAAGGCACAATAATTAATACACAGACCAGTGGTCAATACGCATATTTCCCCGTATGAATTAGCTGCTTCAGGAACTACTCAATTTGTAAGGATTTGCAAGGTATAGGATTATTTTTCAATTATTCCGCAGGCTTTTTTTTTCAGCCAATTAAAATTTCCAATCCCCATCAGTTATCGGTTATTTATATGAATTCCAATATCTTTTTTGGTTTCAGTAATTCTATTCAATGTTTTTCTTATCCTGTTGCAGAAAAAAAGGTTAAATAATACCAAGTATCCTAGATGATATTAACTCTTATCAAATGATACTGGACTTTATCAATGGTATATCAGAACAGCAATCAGCACATTTTCCTATATGAATTAACTGCTTCAGTAATTATTGCTCTTAGCGCTAATCTGTGGAACTAATTTTTAAGATGGATTTACAATCCAACAGTTTATAAAAGAAAAAAAAAACGAAAATAGAAACTAGAAGTAAACCTGAAAACATATCCCTTGGCATAGCTATAGGATGTTACTGTAAAACAAGCAAACAATCCAAGCAACTGTGATGACAATGAAATTCCTTCGCCTGACTGTGCAAACTGAATTTTCAAAATTTGTGGTATGAATATAAGCAGTGAGCCAAGAGTTAGACCAAGCCCAAGCATTCGCGACGTAACCATCGATATACATTCTTCTGGAAGTTTTTTGATTGGGTGATTAACTAATTCAGAAAGGTTCATTATGGCTTGTAAGTAAGTTCTATCATCGATGCCTACTCTTTTCCATTTCCTGTCCATTACCTATCCGATAACAAGCTTTCTATACTTACAACATTTAGCTATCCGACATGGCAGGCTTCCGAAATCTGTTTTTTCATTAACCTGTCAAATTCTGAAGACCACCTCATGGTCACAGCAATGTTCCATATATATTATTCAATGGCTACACTGACTATTCACTGATGACTTCTCTGCACAACTTCTAACCATATCGTTTGTTACGAGAGAGATACCAGGGACTTACGATGAAGGAAGTTATATTTCAGAAGCATTATTTCGTAACATCGATTTGGAAATATGAAATGTAATAGTTGGTCAGTTTTTGAAATAATCAGATCCTTCATTGCCACAGAACTATCACCTAAAAATGATCGACCAGGGCAGATTAAATGTCATCACGCAAAATATTAGGTTTGACTCAAATGCAACTGAACCCTACACCATCATTTGCACTTTCAAGTCCATAAACTGCCTCGTTATCTCGTGCTCCATTTCCTTCGGATTTCCCACGTTTTCGCTATGGAAATTTTCGAATATCCCAAGAATTCTTTTGCTCTACCGACCAAGACAGATTCAGAAATTCATCAATTTGGAATTTATGTAATTTGTTTATTCGCTTTTTCCCTAGCAATCATCAAACAGCAGAACGACTAATTAATTCACTGTTCCGATCAGTTAGTGATCATATAGCGTATTTAAGAACAAAGTAGTGGCAGCGAATATACAACGGAATGTCATTAAGCGATAAATAATCCTTGTCAATCAGTGCAAAGCAAATACAACATCACAATTCCACGGAAATTTTTGGGTATTCACAACGATTACTAGATGCACTATTAAACCAGAATACTCGAAATACAGCACATAAATATAAATTAGCACGGCAAAAGATCATATGCACAGTAAAATCACTTGACTCGTCAATATTTTTAGAAAAGATTGAAAATAAAAAAATACCAAACATTTGACTTCAAACTTCTAAATGTCAAGTAAAAATAAGAACGAACAATTTGCTATTAGTTTTTAGTACCATTGAGAAAAAAAACTTTCTGATTATGCATTTCGGTACTGAAGCGGACTGAAACTGAAAGCGTTTGGCAAATAAGAATCTGGTTTTCAGGCAGTTCTATTAAATTCAAGTGGTTTTTGCAATGGTGAGAGTTACCACTTCAATTGCTACAAGTACTTATTAGGATTGATTACTAGAAAATGCCACTTAAGTAATACCAATAAAACGCACGATTTTTTTACTTCAAAATTTCAAAAGTTCTAAAAAAATTTAGGAAAGTGCAATCAAAAAAAAGTCTGGGAAAGGAAGAGATTTTCCTCTCAAGCTTCAGCCATATGTTTTTACAAATCTCTTCACATTCTGCCTTTGACTTTTCTTCAGCTTACTCAAACACTTGAAATACCTGAAAAATGAAAAAGTCTGTCTTGCTTTTTCACTATTTAGATTTTGAAAGTTTGCGTTTTTTCTGCGTTCCAACTCAATCTCAAAAACGAGTTTAGCACATAAATTTACAGTTCCGATCACCATTCCAAAAATCTAAGCTTCATCTGCCAATATTTAAAGGTTTTGTAATCATTAAATTACCTCCAGATCATCGATTTTAAATCTACCACCTTTCACTAGTTCTGGATTTTGGAATGTGTTGCCCGGCAAGCTTGAGCCATTTATCAATTCACCGATAATATATATTGCATTCCCACCAATCTATAAATTAACAGATAAATTGAGAGATTTGATTTGTTCCATTAAAACAGTACAGTGAGGCATTTCATTGAAACAGTTTTGAAAGAATGAGATAGGTCAAGTCAATCTGGCATCAATCCAATCTTTTAGTAAATGAGTTAACTCAATTAGTTACTCAAGCAATTAGAAAGAAATCCGTCAGTTTACGACATAGAAGACACGTTTCGCAGCAGACTCTATGAGTCATAACATGAACATGACTTGTATAATAACATATATAAACAAATCTTTTGAACCTAAGATGTAGAACACGCACAACTGATATCAAAAAACAAAGTGGAACTTTAGACAACGTACCATTAAAACAGTAGGCTCTCGCTCATAAGGAGCAGCCATAAAACATTCAGCTTGATTTTCTTTCCAGTCATATTTATTAACTTGATTATTTTCATCTAAATTCCAAACAAACGAAAGACCACCGCCAAAGTATTTTCCATTCCCACGTTCACGTGTTTTTGTTCGATTCCCCCATGGTTCGTCACAGAAGGCCCCCAAAACTTCACTATTATCAGTCTTGATAATTAACAACGTTGATTCTGCTTCATCGATCCTGCGAAAATTGAATTTTAATCCCATGATAATCTACCATAAAGATCACTCCAACAAATTTATACGTTGCAGCTATTTTTATAGTCAAACAACTTGATACTGAAAACAAAATATCCGCTCACTTCGACCACAAATGATAGAATGAAGTCCCATCATCGTAAAGATGATAAATTAGCATCGGAGTTTCCAACTGATTCTTTTCCGGTAAATGGCACATTAATTGAAAAGCAACTTGTGATGAAACGATGCTTGAAACAAAGGGCTTTATATGCATGGCTAGTAAATCTACCGTTGGAACGCCGGGACCTTCTAATTCCAAAATCTGAAGAACATCATCTACAAGGCATTTCTCATTACAAAACTTCAAAAAAGTGTAAGGTAATTAATTAAACTGAAGAGAAAATATAACGGTTGCCCGAAAATGACATTCTTCGAATAAGATAGAACGGCTGTGCTACTGTCCGTTGAACAGTACGACATTTTTATGCACATGAATGAAGCGGCCTTCTATCTCTTTTAGTTGTGGATGAATGCATCTTTTCAAAGAATGTCTTTATAATTGTCATGACAATCAGATGTTTTACTGGGTTTAATTTCATTCCTTCCACTGCGGTTACTGTTAGAAAAAATTGTCTGGTTTGGTTTCACCACAATAAAGATATTTCGTCTAATCCGTCCCAGTTAGTACGGCATTTACTTTATTTTGAGGTGTTTAGTTCAAAAAGAAATTTGTAAAGATATCTTCCAGGTCGATCAAGTTCAGTGTTGGGAATCTACTGAACCGGAGCTGCAATTCTAACATGGAAAAGCTTCTAGTTTTGCTCCTCAGTGACATTAGATCTTTTTTGTCTACAAACCATTGTACTGAAGACAAAAAGAAAAAAAAGAAAACTAATTGGTTTATTGACACTTCACTTATGCAAGGAAAAAAATTTACCATCTTCTCATATCTGTTCTGAAAACGAGCAATTTTTGAGCCACTAAAATTCCGAATTTTTACAGCAGCATTAAGTAAAGATGTAACAGAAATATTTTCATGTTTCACGCTCTGCACAATTCTTTCCGCAAATAAATCAATTCGTTCTTGGCAAGTTTTACCAGCCAAATCATTCGGTATCTGAAGACAAGGATTTTAAGAACCGTAAATTGCAGTAGTAAAAAATTTCAACGCTGTAAGGTAAATGAACCTCCATATTTGATTTTAGTAATTTCAAGAAAATTTACAAAACTGCAATCAGTTGTAATTTAACTTGTAATTTAACATCTCATACTTTCCGTACAGCTGCGAAGAGTTACTATGAATTTTCAACAAAATTTTGTCATCGGTTCTACAGTTTTTAGAAAATACCCTGGAAATATTAAATATATAAAACCAACTTTATTGTTTTTATGCCATCTGTTAAGCAGTGTGATAGCAACTCTCATTAATACTTTGCTTCCTTCATATAAGTAGCAATCAATAACACAAACTAAATATTCAAATGGCAAGGCGCAAAATATCCATCTAGGCCAACTTTGCAAAGCTCTTGCCAGGATGTTTTCGTCAGACGACCCAATCCAATTTTTTAGTGTTTTGTAAACTGCTGCCTGAAAAGAGAAGCTAGGGTAGCTAAGCTATGGAGGCTTACTATGACAATGCCCGGTATTGTTTGTCTCAAGTTCGACGTTTTCAGTTAATTCAACTTAATCAATGAACAAAGTAGACCATAGAGTTTGACACCTAGTAACTTTTCCGAAAGTCAATGATCGTATTCACCATGTGTCAGTACTGTCCCGCTGCATAACATGCTGGATTACACAGAGAGAAAATTCAAATAAATAAAAAAATCTATAAAGAATTACTGCAATTCCAAAAAACGATAATAGTGTTTAATAAAAAATTTTAAGGCTGAAATATCTCGGTTAGTTCAAACAACGAAATGTCTTGGATAATTAAAAATGGAGAGGAAAAAAGAATGGGGGAACATACCTTGTACACTTTCACAAGTGCAAGCAATGTATGTGCCGCAGCTTTGTTTGCCAAAGCAGAATCTTTCATATAATTTGGATGATTTTTAAGGATCCAAACGGCACAAGCATATGCATCATCCTCATTCATAAAATGCAAAAATAACGCAAGTATGGGATGTACCAACTAGAAAAAAGAACTGAAGTTATAGAAGGCACTACAATAAGTTTATTTTTCATGGCTTAACTGAATACCTCCAAGGTGGTTCACATCAAATTGCTTCGCAATATGCCAAGCAAATCAAAAAATAACGCTAAATAAATAAAAGTCGATATCACACTAACAGGTGCATAGTTTAATGTCGGAATCGTAACATCTAAAGCACGAATAAGACGATGTAGTGCTTTTAAGCCATTTGCATTCAATTCATAACATTCATCGATAGTATCCGAAGATTGCAGAAAACGAGCTTTTAATGAAGAATGCCCTAAACAAATCTGAAATAATTTTCAAGAAAACCATTTTCAATTGATAACCCTATAAAGAGCTAGCAATCTAACTCATAGTGAAAAGTAGTGAAAACATTTCTTAAATACTGCATTCCGAACATAATACTGACCTTTCGCTGAATCATTGCAATCAAAATTAGGCGTAACAAATAGCAAGGAAACGGAACAATGGAAAGAAAATTACCGACTTGCTCTTCCCATCCTTCAGATTCCGATTGATAACTACCTCTATATGCATTAAAATCTGGATTGTTTAATTTACAGATTTCTTGCCACAAATCTGCTCGTATTCTATGTCCTACTGGCCAATTTGTTTTCCGAAGCAGTTTTTTTATCTGAAATCAAAAACATAATTTGAAGTGAAATAACATGCACAACGCCACCAAGCATACGGTCGGCAAAATATTGCGTCGCAAGACCAACAAAAACGATTTTCCTGGAATGTCCCATGATGATTTAAACGATACACACTGCATATGGATTGAGAGTTTATTACTTCTCCATGTTTATGCCCTTTCAGCTTTCATTTAACCTACTCCCTAGTTAGCCTGATCATGATCAATGATTGTTTGAGTTCTATTTACTGCTCACATTGATATTCTTACTTCATCGGGTCGATTCCGGCGCAGAATTTGCTGAATCAATTCGATGTTGCCGTATGATTCATCGTCACTAATAATCTTGATATTGGCATAATTTGTGAATGTTTCCTGCAGACAAAATGGTGTGCTGTGTGTTTAATCTTTTCATAACTTCATGTATAATTTGAGTTTCTCAAAATTAGACGGCAGTGTTTCATATTGTTAACCTTATTAAAGTACTTTTAATGTTTCAGCTTATATCTATCACCGTCTCATTTTAAGGATCTACTGCTATATTACAGTTTCACTGAAAGTAATATCTTTTGAATGACTGATATTTGATTAGTCTTTAGAGGACTGGTCAAGTACCAGTCATTTAGAATATATTACCATATTTCCAGGACAAGGATTTACATAAAAATGGAGAATCAAAAGAGTATTCAATAATCCAAATTTTATTTGATAATTTCCGTAACAGTAGCTGAATAGTTGATGATACTGATTTAACAACTAACAATACAACAAAAAGCTTACCCTGCCAGATTCATGAAGTAGTGGTGGTTTTGCATTCTCGTTAACCGCCACTTCATCACCTGCTAGAAACTTTACGAATTGTTCACGTTTATTTGAGGGTAAATGAAATGAACGTCGTAATCGACTACTCAACCGCGAAAGAAACGATGTATTTGATTCTGTACGTTGTAAGACCAATGGCGTTCGTGGTACGGGTGTAATGGAATGTTTTATAGTGCTAGGTCCAGCTTCATCATCATCAACATCTGGCAAAGAAGTCATGGCAGATATTGTGCGAAGTGGAAAGGACGGTGTTCGTTCCTTCTCGCTAACCTCTGTTGCAGTCGTATGCGCATCTGAAATGAGCAAGACCGTTGCTGATCGATAAGCAAATGCCTTCTTTCAAGTGGAAGATCTATAAGAGTGGAGAAAGGAGAAGCATGGAGGTTTTTTTTTTTTCGAAAGGAGAAGCTTTTTCTCCAGAATTTTTATTGCAGCCTGATATATGTTTGGAACAACTTTATAGTTAAGCATTTTCGATGATCCCTAAAGTCATAGTCATACTGCCTAAACCATGTTCAGAGAAACCATCCTAGTTATCACTTTCTTGTCGACTATCATACCTGACGATCAGAACGAAGCTTGCAACTCCCGTCCAAGGAATCTGGGATTCTTTTATGATATAATAAAGTCTCTATACTCGATTATTCGGCAATAAGTGTTACAAATGGCTAATTAAGAAAAAATTCATCGGTAGGTTCTACAACATGTTATTCACTAGTAATCGAGTCATCGCTATAATAGTCAGTCATCTATTATTCACCAACCTCTATTTAGGAACAAAATTATGGAACGGGTAGGCTATTACTAGCTTATCTATCAACAATTTAACCAATCTAACGTCATTAATATTTAAACAAACCAAATTATACTTATATCTAAATATACTAATATTATACTGATAAATTATACTAATATCTACTTTTGTTCAAAAAATTACACTAATATCTCCTACCTCATCTTCGAAATGTATAACGTGATCCATGAAGACAAATGAAGGAAATAATAAAACTGATAATAATGATCGATGGGAAGTGAAAGAAAAGCGATAAAAGGCTCATTCTTTCTCTTTCTTATTCCTTTTTATGATTCCGTCCCTATTCTTCGGTTCGGTAATTTATAAGGCAGGATTTGATAAAGTGCGGAAGGATATTTTGGAATACGACAAAAACAGGAGAGAACTTTCAAGAGGAAGTCGTTTTTAAAAAACATCTGATTGTGGTAAGATATGTTCATTTATCCATTTCGTCTTGAAGATGAACTAGAGAAAGATTTCATTTACGACAAGACACTAATTAAGGAGAACCTTCTTCATAATTAGAATCATCTATATTCTAATATTGATAACTTAAATTTTCTACAATGAATTTTCGCAGATTAATACACCCGAAAGACAAATAATGGTAAAGAAAGGAAAGAATGTTGGAATGAAAATTTCAATACACGCCCGAAAAACCTCGTAAGAACCAGTAAAATATTTTTTACCAGTAGAAAATGAAAAGTAAACCCCCTCCTCCCATAAAAAAAGAAAAAAACCAATACGAGATCTTTTAAACTGTTAAACTAAAAAAAAAACTTACCCGAAAATGATCGATGGGGAAATCTCCTCTAAACAAAAAGGAAAAAAGGTATTGTTTTACCTGTCATTTTCCTCGTACTAGTCGAATTCGTGCGTTTGATAAATGATTGATATAAGTTACCCAAGTTGCTACGACGAAATGCAATCAAGCTGTTACGACGAAATGATCTCATCGCGGGACTACCGTGATCTCCCGACATTTGATCACCGAACATACACAGGTAAAAACTTAAAAACCTTTCCCGTTCCTATACACCTCTTTTTTCCTTTTCGTCTGTTGTTATTCACCCTCCTTGTTCAGTTTCTGCAATAAGTATTTGAAGAATTTAATATCAAATGAAACAGACAGCGTAAATATATATTTCAAAGTAAATATTTCCTTTGCATATAAAAAGTAAAAAGTTGAGAAACCCGTTCAATTTATTTCAGTATCGTTACCTTATGTTCACTCATTTTTCCTATTTCTTTCTACCTTTGCTCAATTGCTATATTTCACCTGAATCATTTATTTATTGCGGGTTATCCTTTTTTTTTACTTCACCTTCATTTTCTCATACAAAGTATTCGATGATATTTTGAGATACATTCTGATGAAACATTTTGTGGCGGTCCCAAGCGTAAAAAAAGTATTAAAGTTTGACGGCTAATGAAAAGTACTATAAGGTACTAAGTCTGAAGTTCGAGGTCTAAGCCTCACCTACAAACCAGTATAATAATTGATACAGTAGCAGAACACTATCAGCGTACCAGTTTCATCTCAGCCGACGATGAAATGGAATACCAGCAGACACACCAACGTAATTACAGGTTGAGAATAACCATTGGTCCAGTCTCGGCCTATCATTTCGGGTACCATATTAAGTAAGTCGCTCTCATACCCAACAAGTTTAGCTCTCCTCCTACTTTTGTTCCATTACTATTTTTTGCGCATATTTGTCCGCAGCAATTTATGGTATACCCATGAATTTTGACCCATGGTATACCATGATTTCAGACTTATTCCCAAATTTGAACTATATTTCCTCACATTCCCCATTTTTGCAACAGATTTCATATGTTCTACGGGGCACATATTTGCTAATGAAAATATCGACAAGTCGGTCTAGAACTAAGTCAATATTCAAAATTTTTCATAATTTCGTAAAGTCGTAAAGTCGTTTAAGAAACGATAAGAAGTGATGGAAATATTTCCATCATTAATAATCAGAAAGGAGGAAAAGAGCAAGACGTACTTTGTAATAGTTTATTGGTTGATAACTCGAAGGTAGTCGGTACTGTAATGGTACCAGTTTGAAAGGTAGGGTACCATCATGAAGCTATCGATAGAGTATTGTCGTGAAGGTAACTGACGGTAACGATTGATTGTTTGTTCAAGACTAGAAAGCAATTAACAATCATCATTTGCCCAAAGCATATAAATCATCCTATCTATTCCAAAGATATTGTTTTTTTCACATACCAAACAATTGCCGATCTTTGTCCTTTTATCAGTATCAGTACATTGGTGCAATCAAATTTATGGGTTGTTCGGAGGCTTCTGTTTTATTTCGATCCTAGAACTAATTCCGATGCAAAAGTCCCACGATCTGATTAATCTATGAATTCATTCTAGGCTTATGTATGAACATGAATCAGATCACTTACTCATTTTTACCCAACCTAAACCACCATACTTTTACCTACAAAAAATCAATTTTATCAGCCATCTCTTAGTAACCTTACTGGACTACTCACCCTCAAGCTATTCCTTTTAAATTGACCTCTCGCTTAAAGTACCGGTATTACCGAATTGTTTAATTTTCTTCCATCTCTTCAACGCCCACTTGACAATATTGTACTGTTTGGAACGGGGTAACATAACAGAAACTTGCCCTTATACTGACTTTCTTGATGGAATGGGAAAAAAACAAGTGGAAAAAGTTCAAGTAAAATTTAAAAATCGATACAGCCCTTAGAATGAATCAAATATTTTCATGATTAAAAGATATTTAATTCAAAGTAAGACCGATATGAAAATTTCATCACGATGCGAAGGTACTAATCCCCGTAAGCTTTAGGCAGAACAGGTATTACCGTAGTAAGAGAAAGAGAGGAATAAGGAAGGAATTTAGCAGATTTGTAGTTAGTATCTAAGTTGCCTTCTGGAGATTCGTATGTAGCTGATTCCTGAATATGCTCATGGGACCGTAAAATGATTAGAGAATCGTTATGATCATTTCTAGTGTCGAAAAAACTTAGGTCCATTAAAGATTAGGAAAAAAAATTCAAATAAATGAATCATTAACTGAAAGGAGAAATGAATCATTCGTGTCCCCAGAAATTATAGATGTCCAGGATGAAAAATTAAAAATCACTAGAGAGATGAATGAATCAGCTAGAGACGGATGGGGTGACAATTCATTTATGGTACCAAAAAACTTGAATTCCAGACGTAATGGATGTTATGATCTTTTCGGCAAATACCACAAATTTCCTCCCTCTCTTTCTCTCATCTTTTCACCCCACTTTACCTGTCGCATTTATTATGGACCTTTCTCTCAAAGAATATAACCTCCATGGAATTGTTTTTGATCATTGGTCACTTCAGTACAGATCCTTTCCAGTTTGCTTGTAATTTGATGGATTTGAACTGCCTTTTATGGATAGTTAGATTGATGTGAACAATCGTTTTCGGATCAAACGGTTGCGAAGCAAATTCAATGAGCATTGCGAAATCTCGGAAATGGGAATTAAATATTTAAATCGAAACACTTATAATTGGAAATAAAATAAACGAAGAATTTGTCAAGCTAAATCTCTGATTTGTAAAATTGGATAACTAAAAGTGACAGGAAAAATATCCTGGATACCCGAGACCAACCAGGATTATATGAGCTTTGGAAAACCTAGAGCATACAAATAAGAGCCAACTTTTGCATTCCTGAACGAACGAGCAATGTTCGAACAACTCACTGGTCGAAAAATGATTTGCATGTGCACGCTTGTGAACGTTTTCCACATTTCGCGTGTTTCGCGCGGAGCATTTGTACGGGATGGTTCTGCAAGTGATTTCATGACTGATTGTGACACCAAATAATCCTGAACACGTAAAGTGGACACACACGTGCAATTGCGTTAGACAGTGTTCAATTTGACGTACGTGAATTCCTAAATGGGAGATGCCACTTGTCATGTGGTAAGATGAAATTTCTGTAACTAATAATGAGATATTGCTGTGAAGCAACGCTTGATTATGACTTATCGTTAATTATACCTTCCATAATCTTCGAAGATTGCACTACATCTGTCGTTTTCTTTGCCTTCAAGATAGAATCACAGCTCACATAATTTTGTTATCTTTATAGTACATCCCACATTGCGGATTTTTCATTGCTATCATAACGTAGTGATTCTCAGCTTTTCCTTGACCAGTGATTATTATGGCTTTTTTATTTGTAGTACGGATCACAAGGTTCAGAAAGAATAAAGTCTATTCATTTGTTTTTACCAAAATTTTCAAATAAATAAAGTTTATTTACTTGGGAATAAACTTCGGTCAAAACTTTTAGCGTACTATTAAACACTGATAAGAACAACCTAGACTATTTTTTACTCGCCGCCCTCATTAACCATACTTTAGTTTTCATAGACAACCGGTTAGGAACCAATAAAATATGATATATAAAAATTCACTTTTCAGTGTTCGCTGTCAGTTTCAGTTGGAATTTTAAGGTTTATGATTAAATTCAACAAGTCTTAGAATATCTGAAATTATGCTGAGCGTTTGCTACATTTGTGCTATGTATTGCTATTGATGTACAAAGATTTGTTCAGAGTATTTATTTGAATTCCATTAATTTATAAGGATTTATCACTCTTCCCAAAATCTTTTCACTGGTTGCATCAATTCTAAATTTATATGATTGAAATTTGGATTTATAGAGTTTAGGTATAAAATGGATCATTAGCATTTTATTTTTCAGCTGATTATAATAGTGTATCAACTTTTAAACATACACTTGTGCTAAGTTAGATATGCCTTTTCGTTTTTTCACTTTTGCATTGGTATGAACTGGCAAGATTTGATTTCATTTAATAAATCTCTAATTTGAACTCATAAAATTGAAAATAATCAAGCTTTTAATATTGTCGGACGGATTTTGGACTGGCTATTGTTTCATTAACCAATGACACAAAGGATTTTGACTGGATTGTTTTCAGGTATTAGGCGAATTTTCGATGCCACTGTAATTCTAAAATTATTCTAATTGACTACAATGTTTCGCACTCGGGGGATTGCACGCTTGTTGTTGGAGAAGGAAGAATTAGACGATCGTTTGCTTACCAGTGATCATTCCGAATGGTACTATATTGACAGGTATATCACCAGAAGTATCTTATAGATGATGAGACATCAAATTAGTCAAGTGGATTTGTAAACTTATTGTAAGTTGGCAGGAAGAAAGTGAGAAATGTTTCATTTACTGCTTTCGATTTTAAGGACCGCCGTAACTTCGTATATGCTAAAAAAATTTCATCAATTCTACATGGATGAAGATGTGGAAGAGTTTCTAAGCAATTCTCTTGAAACCAGTAATTCATTATGTTTACAGGCATGCCTTTTTCTTTACTTTTGCTTCTATTTACTCTTTGTCATCTCTATATCATTTTTCTCGAAAAGATTGATATCTAGTTATCATCTTGTCACTGCCATTTGAAAGTGATGTTAAAGAATGCAACAGAATCCTGTAAAAGATGTTTGTGGTGAAATATCAATAACATCTCTGGGAGGGAAATGACAAGTTTTGTGTTTTGGAAAAAAAAGAATTTGTTGTATTCCGTGACTGGTAAGGTAAAATGATTATTGAATGATTACGACTATTATTGGGTGATTATGATGTGACATTATGAATGAATATGATGAGTATTATGAAGGTATTAACGGTAGATGCTTGCGTAATAACGGTGGATAAACGCATTATAAATCACTAATTTTTGCTGTCGTTAAATTATGGTGGCTAATCGAGCATTGATCTCACTGTTTTCCGAAGTTTTTCATCATTTTTAATGAATGCTTCATAAATTTCAGGTCTGTTATGCACTTGTTACTTCGTTGTTGTCAATGGTACTAACGAAAACAAGTATTAATGGTGTCCTACGTCGAGGTGGTATGCATCTTTTCTCCTTCAGTCAACTTCAAGAATTTTTGGACATTTCAGCTGAGTGGACCTTTCACGACAAAAAAGTAAAAGTTTTCATCAAATTCCATTTCTTCTTTACAATTCACTCGGTTTTGTATCCGGAATTCAGTACCATTTTCAGTCCTTTTAGTAGAACTTCTCAAATGACCTGGGGAAGTCCTTCCGATCGTTGTTCGTTTGTTCTTTGTAGTTAACTTCTGTTTGAAGGAAAAAAGAAATGTTTCCATTCAGCTTCTGGATTTGGGTGCTGGAGATGGTCAGATAACCGCTATAATGGCACGACTATATAGGACTGTTTCAGTTACAGAAGCTTCCAAGGTGAATTCAATAATTCGATCGGTGTTCATTGGATTACCCTATTCCAGAAACTGAGAAATCTCCTTTGGGATATTTTGAATCAGGTTATTCGGTTAACCAATATAGTAAGTCTCCCTGTGATAATTTCTCTGTTGTGTTTAAAACCTTTTGATGCGTGTCCTAATTGGGTAATGATGATTGCGATGGGGATGATGCCAAACTCGATACTGTGAATGTATAAATCACATATTACTGAGAAAGTTAATGAACTTGGACGCTGAGAAATTCATAATGTTCATATATATTTGGTCATTTGAAGTTTTCGGTCTTTATCCTTTTTTCATTCTTAAAGGTAATGCAATGGCGTTTGAAACAACGTGGATTCAGAGTTGTTCCAGTGGATATCTGGCATCAGTCTGGGACTTACCATTTGGTTTCAGCGCTTAATCTGCTAGATCGTCATTACAATCCATCTTTGTTATTAGCTCAATTACATTCCATAACTCTACGTTCAAAATCTTTGCTGCTGTTGGCTGTTGTTTTACCGTTACATCAATACGTGGAATTTCATCCTACAAGTCGGACAAATCGACCAGGTATTATGTGTAAGCTTTTCTTAGGAGTTCTACTTCGAGATGTAATTTTGCTACATGTTTTACAGGTAGATTAGTACGGGTTATTCATGTTCCTGAGTTTGCACTTATTTCTAGATAAAGCTTTCGGGATCAAATTTTACGCTGAATTACCGGGAAATATTGCTCATTATTTAGATTAATCAGAATTAATCAGCGAAATTCTTTTTAGACATAAAAATCTCGATCAAAGGCAGAACGTTCGAAGAGCAGGCAGGTTCATTAGTAGCGGATGTTCTGGAACCAGCAGGATTTGAATTGCTCAAATGGGGCAAACTACCTTATTTAAGCGAAGGAGATGTTAGAAGGGTATGGTCTGCTTTCTTATTTTTTTTTACCCACTTTATTTTGAAGAGTCATTGCGGAGCTTTATTTATTTATTTATTTTTTTTAAATCATAAGGTTTCCAAAAGACCCTAACTTTTTCCGGGGTTAAAATCCTCATCGATCTGGGATTTTTTAAAGAGGAAAATCTTACGGACGGTTTGAAGTTCATAATTTTAAATATTCCAGCCATTTTACCATCTTGATGATGCCGTATTTCTGCTGAAACCAGTAAATATCAGTTCTGCTGGAAGCAGCTTCTCGAGTATTCTTAAAAATAATTCGATGTCGAATCGCGATTTCACTTCGCTTTAATCACTTCTAATTACAGTTTTAAACTCAATAAAATCTCTTTTAACTCTTGTCTCATTTTTTCCTTTCTCTATGAAAGATATGACATTTATGAGGGTTGATTTGGGAACAGTCTTAACGACCCCAAATATAACAAAATATTAACCTTCCGAAGGTAACTTAAGACAGTCGTTCATTTATTTGTCAATACGTTGCAATTGCCAATAAAAATGGAAATTGAAACACTTTTTTCAAGGGAAGTATTTTGAACCATGTTTTTCCTCTGGAAGGTTTCATCATGGGTAATCTGTTTCCCATGGAACGTCGAGAAGTCTGTTTGAAAAAAATCCATTTCGACCTAAAAAATTTCTTCAGGTCATTTATAAAATTGCACGCATAACGCAGAATGCATTGTAAGCTTACGAATTTTAAGATTGTAAGTAAGGAAATCTGCATAAAAGTAGCAGTATTATGCAGTCATAATGAAAACGGCGAGTCGCGAGGGACATCTAGTGTTTGCATCATCGTGGTGTGGTATAGATGATAACCTTAGAGATATGATCTCTTGTAGATGGTAGTGGTCTTCACGAATTTGTGGCATCTATAAATGATGACACACACGCGTCTCGCACTGTAACATGTTAATCATGCGTGCAACAACTACATCATGCGATCCTAAGTACTATCACATCCATTGGATTGAAATTTATTTCCTGCTCTAGACCGATGAATATTTTACGGTCAAAGGGCCGCAACATGGATACATTTGCGGATTTAGTTTTTCTTCCGGGGAAGTTTAGTTTTCCTAAAGATTAAAGGTGGAAGGTTAGCTTAGATTAAGTGGCAGAGGAACGCGGAA